GCTGGTCACTCGCCTTCTCTGCCCTTCCATAACAACCCCTTATTCCAGATGAAGTGGGGAGTGTTTCTCTGGAGCTGCCTGCATCAGTGGTTGATTGACCATGACACTGAGCTCCTCTTGTGGCAGAGGATAAGATAAATCGTACACGAGGAGCTCACTACATTAAAGTTTCCTCAGCGCTATATTAAAACAGGATTAAAACAGTTGATGTTCCCTTTTTTTATGCAAAAAAAAGTTCAAATGCACATAAAAATTTTGCAAAGGTTTTGCATGGACTTTTTTTACTGCCTGGCCAACTTTCAGAAATCGAAGTGGAGAAGTGGAACAAAAACAACCCATTAATTTTTTGCGTTTTGGGATCATAAATCAGCCCTCTCCGAGTGCCTTTTTAGTTCCTTTGCAACCGACTTTATATAATATGCAAAAAGAAAGTGATCCTTCAATCAGGATGTTCATAATGTAGTATCACACACAAGTTTTGGTTTCACTATTAAGTCATTCTCTCTGACTCAGTTTCTAATAGAGAAAACTGAACACAGTACAGCCATCACCACTCTGTAGTATCCCTATTAGGTTCATGTTTAGACTCTTGTCTGTGCTCAAGTGCTCTTCTCACATGTCTCATATTGAGAAAATTGTTAGATTAAAGTGTTGCTATGAAAGCCTCCCAGACCTCACCATTATTTTTTCCCCTTAAGTGGAGAAAACATCTATTTGCAAGCACTTGATGGACTAACCCACACCTGCATGATTATGCGGGAAGAAAGGGGGAACATGGGACACTGATAAATGATTAAATGGCAAGCAGAAACAAAATCAGCGAGGCTGCAGGTGACTTCTTAACACAGGTGGCAGGTAGGCTGTTTTCAATGACCTGTTTCACGACACCACAAAACCTTTAAAAGGATTGCTACCATTATGCTCATGTCAGCTGATGCAGAGTAAATGTGGCATTCACATTCTAAAATAAGTCCATGAGTCCAATATCACAGTATTTCTAACTGCATCTTAGCTGATTTGCATCTGTAGCATGCCCAGCGCAGCTCTGAATTGTGCTGGTGTAGCTAACAGAAAAAGAAAATGCTTTAAGTGCTTGTTGGTTGAGACACTGTAAACAGCATGACTATGCAGCCTCAAACAGTTGGTTTGAATTAAAGCTATGTTAATGAAGTGTGGCAGAGATCCCGTGATTGTCTGCATCATCGTATCCCAGATAAAATGAGTAAGCTGTGAGCGTCGTTACTCCTGTCTCATCCTCTGACATCATGTTTTGTAAGCATTTAATTGAGACCTAAGACAAAAGCTAACAGAAAAAAAAGAGGAGACAGCTTTGAGGAAAGCCACGTTCCTATATGTGATAAATCAAGAGGCCTTATTAGACTGAACAAGTGGGAGTCGACGACATCTCAAACAGCCAGCAGTCACATCATAGCTGTTGTCACATGTGAATTGCAGTGTCACTTAAATTTATTAAGAAGTCAATGTAGTCTTCTGTCGCTGGCTGTTGTCAGTAATTTACCTCCCACACAGACAAAACAAGCCTTCACTTTTTCTTTTTGCAGACAGATGCTGTGGGCTGTGAATAAGCAAGGAGGGCCAGGAGACATGTGTGCCTTCAGATGATTGCACACATGTCTCCTGGCCCAGATTTTTGTTTTCTATCTTGACTGGTGTTGTAAAAAGATTAATGAATAAAGACATCACTCTAATATTTGAATGTTCTTTGTTTGTCTCAAAAGATCAGAGACGGACAGCAGGGATCACTCACACTGTAAAAATATATGTAGATTTGAGCAGATTTGGTCACCCTTTTCTGCAAAGCTTCATCAGAGCATGTGTGCTGAGTGTGTGAGATTGCTTTACATCTGTGGATTGTCCACTAGGGGTTGCAAGAGTAGAGCAAAAGATAATGAGCTCACCAGAGATGCCATATAAGGCGATTCCTTTTAATCAAGAATTCTTAATGAAGTGATTTTAATACACTGTGACAGAGATGAGTCATTACAAACCGAGTTAAGAGGTTCCTTTCATTAAGCTTTTAAGATAAGCTATGTTATTAGTCTTGACTGAATGTGTAACATGTGTGACTTTTTCACAGTAACCAGTTATGATCGTTTAGGCGATAATATCGCAGCCATACTTCCTAGTTTTCTTCTCCTAAATGAATGTTGCCCTTTGTTGCAAGGCACAGTTGGAGCGAGACCTGATCGAAAAGAAATCTCTGTTAAATGATGTATAGATGTGTCAGAATCTTAGCAGGGGGATTTGCGTTACTTTGTTTACCTGGACAGTGTTTGTCAGTAAAAGTCACTGGGTCAGATAATTGAGTAAAAAGAGACAGATGGTGGCAGCGTTTACTGCTGATTACATGGAGGTCATAAACTGCCTTTCAGTAGCTGGGGGTGTCAGGACCAAGCCTATTAAACTGCCAGAGCCTGAGTCTTTGAGGGATGCTGGTGCACCAGTGGGAAAGTGGATGGGTTTAAACAGACCACAGGAATCAAGAACAGAGCATAATATTTATATCTTTAAAAAGGGATGCAAGGTTTCATATTGGATGTGGTGTTTTGTGCAAGCTTGCAGTCCTGCAGGATATCTTGGCGGCCTCATGTCAAGAAGAATACTTAGTCTTGGCTTCATATCTTTGGACTTGGCATACCGTAGCTTGGGATGTAGCTGCTGTCACTCATACAGAGGAATATATTCCATATCAGAGACCTCTAGGCTATAGCAAAATTGCATAGAGTAGCTGTATGTGCACAATGCGGGAAATATAAATAGTATATGCTGATGTAGGGTCATGCGCAGTGTTGAGAAATGACGGGAGGACACAAGAGCAGCAATGTTCCCCTGCAAACCTGCTGGACAAAGCAAAATGTGTTAATCTAGCAAATACTTTATTTAATAGCGAAAGATTTTCTCATTACATTAATAAGTCATGCAGAGAAAAGTTCAAGTATGCATGAGGCAGAGAAACTAAGACTAAGGTTTCCAGTATTAAAGTAAAGGATGCATTGATTTTAATCTGCTGATAATTAACAGTAAAGTTCATCATTTCATACCAAATTGCACACTTGTGTACTGAGGGAGTGCGGTGATATATAAACCAGTCCAACCTGCAAAACACTGCAAATGTGCATTACACAAACCATTAACACTAATTTAATATACCAAAGTTTACTGCTCTGCAATAACCTGCAGAAGTTAAATTTATATCTGTGAATGACAGTTTCATTCCACTCTGCAGTCTGCTGCTCGCTATCTCTTTACATTAGTGTGGTGTATTGGTGTCCCTGGGCAGTGGGGGCTGTGTTTGCTGATCATACTGATGTATAGGTCTACCAACTCCACGGGACAGGCAATCAATATTCCAATAACAGGTAGATTTCCATTCTCACCCTGCGGACTAGTGACCATCAATCTATATCTATGTCAAAACAATTGTAAATAAAAGATCTGTGTTTCTGCGTTGGGAGCAAGTCAAAAGAGTTAATTGTCCAACAGCATCCCAGCCAACATGCAAAATGCAAGACAGCAGTTGTACAGACATCACGTGCATGGTATATAGAAGTGTGAGTTTTTTATGATGTCAACTTTGCATATCAGTTTTATGGTGATTTATATTTTATAACTACTGTTTTATGACGTATTTGCAAGAGCATCAACTGTTTAAATATTGTTTCTCTCATCAGTTGATTTCAGTGTAGTGGGCATTACCCAGGCTGAGGGCTTCCAGATCATTTAACGATGATGGAGTTTTTTCATGGTTGGAAAAACACAGTATTTTTGAAAGGATTGTTCTCTATGTTTTGAGTGGGCTTCCAGTTGCATAGTTGCCCCAATAGATAAAGATCCAGTCCCTTCACAGTTCAGTGTGTCGTTTCAGTTTGGCTGGCCTGCAGTTTTGAAATGGAGATCCACACTCTCTGCCAGTGGCCTTCCAACTCACTCATATCAGAAGCTTTGCTTGCTGTCTAACTGCATTATGGCTGTGCAGCAGGATAGTAGAGTAAGCACAATTACGTGTCTGTTTTATCCAGGTCTCTGGGCAGGAAGGAGATAAGTTGGCCTGCATCAGCATAATGTCACCTCACAGCTTATAGATAAATTTGCGCTGTTCACAGTTCGACACCTGACCCGAAGTGCGAGTTTAATGCCTTCTCATCTCCCATTCCCCAGCTTTACTAACCATTAAAATCCCATCTTGCTTAGCAAGGTGCATTGGACACTAATGGAGACTGACTCTGCCCATTTGTTTTGTTATACACCATTCATTTCCTCCTCCTGCCAAGCTTATGACCAAATGGACTGACAGTAGGGATGCTGCTCTCAGAGTCATGATCTTCTATATGATCCAGCAATCAAGATATGGCCATATCACTCATCTCTACATCCCGTCCGTTTCTGTTGGCACAGGTTTGCCTCGGATTAGTGTTGAGTGTTAAGGTAAGTGAGCAAACATCCGCAGGAGGCGCTCCTCCTGAATAAATATTTGTTGTCCTTGTTTGGATAGTGAGTGTTTTCTCTTATATGGCTATTTCTAATGATCCTGTGTTTTTCTGAATTGTGCTTGGTTGCACTGTATTCCAAAAACATGCTAACACAGCATTTGGTGAATAATTCTTATGTATGTCTCATTTATAAATCATGAGCAGGGCAGTAAGAATCACAATTTCCTCATACTGTTAATATGCATAATGTACTGCACACAGCACAGTATCAGAGAAAAAAGGGGGTTCTCACAAAAGTGAATCGAATTATATGCAATATTTAAAGCTGTAGTAGATCATATACATGTGCCACTATGTTTGCTTTTCATCATCAAAACATAAACCTTTGCAGTTTCCCTGTTCGAGGATTGGAGAGAGACTCAATGTGCTCAGCAGACTCTGGAGGAGCTACTGTACATGTTTAGAGCAGGGATTGGCTGAGAGCGCTGTCACTCAAACAGCAAATACTCTCCAACTTCCTCTGTCCTCCTTTCCTGGTGCAGCCTAGGAGGAGGGAGGGGAATGAATCTTTTCTGTGTGAGTCGCCAGTGCTCCCTCAGACTGCTCCTTACAACCTGTCCTTGACTTACTGTGCACAGACGAGACTGAGAGGAAGCTGCACTGCTCCCTCCTCCTCCTGTCACATTCCTGTTTTGATTCATGTGAGCGGCAGCGGTCTGAAAACATTTCACTGTGTGGCTGCTTCTTTCTACCTGTGGTGCTTCAGCAGACTGGTGAAGGGAGGAACGCTCGTCCTCGGCCGGTGGAGCTCTGATGGGAGGCAGCGCTGACTCTGGCTGGGACTGGGGATGCTGAACGGAGGGAGGGAGGGCCTGTTTGAGCTGGGACAGCAGCTCCAGCAGCAGGGGGAGTACCAGGCCGCCCTCCACTGCTTCCTCAGCTGCCTGCTGGGACTGACTCATGTGCAGAGCTTCACCTCTCTGCCCAACTGCTTACACCAGGTGAGCCAGATGGGAACTGGATATACTCACACCCACAAAATGTCACACAGCCATAGATTCTGTCTTTCTGTGTGTCTTTCTCTTCCACATGTGCCAGCATGAATTCACGTGTGTGTTACCTACATCTACACATTTTTTGCCCTACCATGTATTTGCACAGCTGTCCAAACACATGTGCATCACTTCTCCTTTTGAGCGTCATAAATTAGCAAACATCACAACACAAAGGACACATTCAGTATATTCGATGTCAAACCTGACAGCACAGTCCATCATGGGTCTCTGTGTTGACACTGTAAAATCATTCGGTCTCGTAGAACTGATGATGTGCATGCTGCTATTAGCGGTGCTGAGTTCAAGCCTAATGTATTCCATAGAAACAGTGGCACTGTTTATGGTAATAGCGTAGTATCCCGTTAATATTTCCCCCATGGTGTGTGGGCTATGCGTGAGATCAGAGGCATTATGTTTGGGCTCTGTGCAGCCAAGGCCAAAGTCTTAGCAGATTAAACACTGGGGTTGCTTTAGAAGACCCTCCCACAAAGGTAGAGCTACAGTTTTAACCGTCTTTGCTTGTGCCTGAAGGAATGTCCCTGATGTCAAAACATAGCCTTTACTCTACAACTTTGGAATGCATGGCATGATGTTGACCAGCCCAACAGTGCTGGGAGGAGAGCACAATTATTTGTTTTGACAGCTCGTGACATCATGCATACGCCTACCCGTCTGTGATGTTGGAAGTGAATTATTTAATATTTAACTAGGTCCCTTGGTTGTTTTTTATGCTTTACAGATTGCAGAACTCTTCATCACTGAAAAGAATTGTATCCTTTACTAACAAAAGAGGAAAAGCTGATCTGACACTTTTTCTGCCCCTGTCCTTTAAGCCTCTAGCAAGCAGCTAACTATAAAACTAGCTCTTCGACTCTGTAAACCTGTTGTGTAAAGGCTTGTCACTGAGGCAAGCTTGGCAAATTCCACCACAATGAACCGTGTAGACCCTTTATAGAAAGCAATGTAAAGCAGAGAGGATGAGGGGATGTCTTTGAGGCATTTGTCCCCAAATGCCTCATGTTTTGTGTGGAGCCCAGGTTGTGTGTCTGTCTCTTAAGAGGATTTGTAGGCTCTTATCTCCACACAACAGAGTGGGAAAGCACTAATTAACCCGTATCTGCGCTGACTAGCCTGTGCATTGCCACTTCACTGCTTCTATAAACTATAGCTGTAAAGGACAGAGAGATAATAGAGAGGTGTTATGTTTCAGGATATATTACCTCCATGGCTCCTCTCTCTGTTACTGAGACACTCCAACACTTTACTTGCCAGCTCAGGTTATCTACTTCAGCAGGGCTCTAGCGCTCACTGTCCGTTTTCCAAAATAGGTCAATTTGCTGAGCTTCATTTTGTCAATAGCCATTACAGTTTGCCCCTCTCAGCATGGAAAGGTATCTACTTACAAGGGTCATCTTCCAAGATTTTTTAGCATACGATACACTCTTTCCTGAAGTCAGTAAGAGTAGCGTGTGGTGTCATGTCAGATTTGGCTATTTTATTATGCAACGCATATTGTTTTGGTTTAATGTGAAATTACAAGCATTGCAGGTCAGATACAGACTGAAATAGTTTGCATAACAATGAAAAAGGGTTATTGCAGTCACAAAAACAACACTTCGAGATTGAACCATTTTTGCCGTTTAACTTGCTTCCAACCTTTCAGTTCTTTTAGCATTTTTCATGATAATCACAGAAGCTGAAGCAGTGATGTTTTGGTGCATTTGTGAATACCCTCTGGGGAGGTGAGGTGAGGGGTCAGTCTGCTCAAACTGGGAGCAGGATGTGGGAACTTTTTAGTGTCACGCAAATGCTGTATGAGAACAGGATTGGCAGCGTCTTCTCATGTGTTATTTCTAACCAAAAGCATGATAAGAAAACCAATTAGTCCAGACAAATAACTATATTAGTTGCACTTGATAGTCATAGTACCAGTGCAATGACTGCTTAAGGCTTGATGTGTTGTTATCAGAGCTGGAACTGTCCACAAATGACCTTTATTCAAAGCCAAAAGCTGTTTTAGCTCATGAGTGTTACTGATATGTGTTTCATGGAAAGAAAACTGCGTGGCACACGTGGACTTTAACCTCCAATAAAGGTGGATTTCGGATAAAGATGCAGTTATATCCCGATTTCAGATTTCTGAAGTACAATTAGTTAAGTTATATCTAATTAAGTCACGTTTCAAGTTTCTTAGGTGTACTATTCCACAGCAAATTCCAATTTCCTCCCTACTAAAATAGGTTGTACACTTGAGGTGAGCACACGTGTGATCAGATGCCTTTGAAGGTTCCAGAGTTTTGGAGTGTAGTCCAATTACAGTTTCAGAGAGGGTGTGGATGAGAGAATGGAGGTCATTCCCAGGAGAGCATTGTGTGAGGTTCCTGTTGTTGCATTGTTATAGTCCAGGCTGACTAAAAATAGCAGACAGAAGTAGCGCTGTGACCTTTGGTGACGGCTGTTCTCCTCATCCTCCCTCACAGATGGTCCGGCTAAACAGGTGACTCCCAGGAGCTGTGACAGGTATTTCTAACCATCTTGTAATAGAGCTCTAAGCTTGCTCAAAAATGTGATCAAAGCAAAAGCACTACAACAGTCATCCTTTTCCAGTTACTTATAAAAGTGCTCAGTTTTCCTTCTGTACAGCACATTAAATTATTTAAAAGCACTTCCTCTAAAAGCATTTCAACAGTCATCCGTCACCATCCCTCATCCTGTTACTAATCAGCTCAGGAGTACACGTTTTCTTGCATTTCTTACATCTTAGATCTTGTTTTGTTTTAATTGTAGTGGGTCTTTGTCTCTCGGGCAAATACGGTACTGTGCAGAAGTCTTGAGCCACACCATGTTTCTTTATATTTTGCCAGGAAAATGGGAATTAGTTGCACAAGTTCATTGAAACATGTGCAAACGTGTTTCCCGATGGATCTGCGTTGTGTCTAAATCTGTCTGTATTATCTGTGTTCATACTTTCATCAGTTTTTGACAAGATCCCCAACACAACTGACTTAAAGATACAATTTTAAATTGCTCCTTTGCTAATCTGTCTGTTCTGTGTAGACACGACACTGTTTTATCCCCCGAATGAGTCATACTTCAGTGTTAAGTGGGTTAACAAACAAACAAGGAAAAAAACTGGACAGGAAATGAGTGAAAAACAGCCAATGTCCAAAGATGAACTTTGTGAAGATTTTTCAGAAAGACTGGGGCACTGTGCTCAAGACCATTTGTGGAATCAAAATTTAAAGAAATATGGGGACACTCAAGAATTTTAAACAATTCTGTGTATGGCTTGGCTCATGTTTTTTTAATAGCATGACGCACTAAAAAATATTTAAAAAATTGTGTATTATATATTATAAAAAACATTATAGGATTTATTGGCATGTAGCGTCACAGCAGAGCTGAAAAGAGGCACACATGAGAAATCTAGTGTTAAGTAGGACATTTAAACAGGCACGCCTGGGTTTATTTTAAGCCTTCTCCGTCCCAATTGGTCTTTAAACTCACCTGACAAACATCAACGGTGTCGTTTTACAGTGGAACAAAAACCAAGTGCATGGAATGTTTCAAGCGAGCTATTTTTAGGACGCTTAAAATAGAGTCTTTTCATGGAAACAAAAACCTGCCAAATCAGATCAGTCCAAAACATCATGTGCAAAAAATATACACAAAAATGACAAAGGAAGGCAATACAACGGAGATATGAGTCGTTATGTGGCATGTCTATATTATCAGACTGAATGTCTGACATGTTTTGGCTCACAAAACCACAAAAACAGCAGGCAGAGTGACTGACCTCTAATCTAATGTGTCCTGGAGTACTGTATGCTGTGTTTGCCCATAGGTTTGTTTGCACGTGAGGTGAAAAAAGTGTGTTGTCTATGAGCTGTGCAGCAGAGACTGTTTTTAACTTAAGCAGCTGCCTGTAATCCCTCTGATATCCGAGACTGATCCTTCACCCATATAAATAGATGGGAAGGCCCTCCAGTTCATACAGGCTGAAAAAATGTTCTATGAAGTGGCATTGATCGAGCTCACCGCTCTTCAGGGGAGTACAGGCAAGTACTTTTCATGTTATGCTATCAAGGAATACTTCTGGGAATATGTGTGAAAACACATAGCATGTCCTATAGAGCGTGCACTTTGAATCCGTGTGGTTTTGGCATGTCCTCGTGATTTCTTAGAATTTCGATTTCTCCGAAAACCACGACATCTGGCTGTACTCTGGTGTAAAATAAATACACAACTCTTTCAGCGAATTGCTGAACGTTTTCCGAGAGTCTTGTGTTCACTGCACAAAATTTGTCATCAGGTTTGTCCGTAGCTCAGTATAACTGCGGTTTCACTTGGATTTGACTGGATCAGTTACTTTTAAAGGCATTTTTCTGGTGATTAAAACAGTTAATCAACACATTGTTATTTTACTTTTGTAAAAATGAAGGAATACTTTTTTCTTGTTGTTGTTCAGGCAATATGACATCGCATTTTACCCAACTCCATCTTTGTTTACAATATACCCGGTCGAGCTTTACGCGAGCATTCACAGCAAGGCTGCTCATTCATCACCTGCTGCTGCCGCTGCTCCAGACGCCTGCCTCTCTGTCTGCTGCTGAGGCAGCAGCGCAGTGTAGCATGGGCACAGTGGAGATCAGGGATGGAGTAGAAGACAAATGGCCACAGTTTCTCATTACGAGCTGTGTGTCACTACAGAATACTGAAGCCCCTGATTCAGCACTCATTCAGATTGGATGCTGGACTTCTCTGGGGGCAGAGCTGGCACTATAGCTACAGCTTACAGCTTTCTTTTCCTCCCCAGTGCTTTCAAAATGTGCCCTTTCCTCTTTTCTCTGTTTCCCCCAATGTAATTGTCATTTTGTCGGTTTTGTAATGCAAACTAATGTCTTTACCTCTTACAATGATTTATTTGCATTTAGATGTGGCGTGGATTGCAAGCCAAGCATCTTCTATGTGTGTGCTCTGTGTGTTCAGTACTTGCATGATGTTTGTGGTGTGTCACTCTGCGTGCGTCTCAATGCTCCAGGGGGTGTGGCGAGTGTGTTGTTTGACTCCCTTATCTGCTCCCTCCTGCCCTTATCTCTTGTGTCTCCAGTCCTCAGTTGGCTCCTCTTTATTGTTCCGGCTTCAAGTCCACAGCAGTGCCAGACAAGTTGATACAGACAGATACCCGGCTTTCGGGGAGATTATTTTTTTGTTAAACTCTTCAGTGGAAGAGGAGGGTAGCGAGGAGCAAGGTTAGCTCAAAAGAGCGTTGTCGGGTCGTGATTACATGCCCTGTGTTTGTGTAACAGGGCCTCAAGAGGAGGCTACGCTGGGCTCCGTGGGATGGACAACCCCAGAGGAACTTTCAGAGCAGGCCTCCCAGGCACAGCACCTCGAACGGCTGGCTCAGCTTTGCATCATGAGCAAACAGTAGGTAAAACTGTGTCCTCTCAAAGCCTCCGTTACGCTGTAATTAATGGGGTGTTACATGTTCCGCTACTTTCAGGTCTCTCCGTATTAAATAAACTGACTTTTAGTGCTTGCTTTAACTTATTTATCATTTATGCATGATGTAGGCATTGCTGTGTGTGTGCTTTTGTATATTCTGCTGTATTTTGCCCGTCATCGTCTAAGAGAGATGAAAAAAATGTTGCTGGCTTAAATATGACAAGGCAAACTGTAAGTTTTGCCTTTGTTGCTGTTAAAGATTTTAATCATTTTGATTATGAATAACCCATTGTTTATAAAGTGAAGTCATCATCTTATTAATAATAATGTCAAGATGAGTTAAAAAGGAATAAATTACTGTCACCTAACTTCTTCGAGTTTTCTGTTTTCTAAAGGTTTGATGACCTTTTCTGTTGCTATCTCTTAATCTTTACTAATTATCCAAAACTATAAGCGCAGCCATCGCTATTACACATGCAGTTTTCCCATTCTGGAAATTTCTGCAAATTCCTTCAACCAAACAAACCACAGCTTCAAGCCTTTTCAGCCATGGTCAAATTTTCATGCAGATGTAGAGAAAAAAGACACCGCGCTCTATGCGAGCGTTACAGAAGGAACACCTTAACTGGATCTGGTGTCTCCTGTTGCAGGGGTACTTTGTTAGGCCACAGAATGCACCCATTTTCTGTGCCTCTGTTTTCATTGTTGGGATTAGGCCATTTAACCTGATTGCCTGAGAGGGTGACAGAGGGTGGAAGGTGTGCTCGGTGGAGGGCTGGTTACACTGCTTCATTAATGCAAGCAGCATGCAGTAGTTAAAGTTAAATGAGATGGTACTGATTGTGCATGGCTGTGGAGGATTGCGTTTCTGCTCTTTGGTGGTTTCTTTCCAGACTTCGCAAACTTACTCTGAAAGGATTATACAGACTGAACAAAATAATCCAAAACTGAACACAAACTGACTCTGGTTTCTTTAAATAATGACCAATCTCTTACTGCGCCCGCTATAAGCGGTGGTTTTAGAGCTTCCTCCTTACAGACAGGAAGTTGTAATTGTTACTAAATCTTTTAACAATGTCATAGGAAGTCCTTTGAGCTAGTGAAGGGCTTTTCTGCCTTTGCCGATCACGTATCCTCTGAGAAAGACCTTCTAAAGCATTGCAAACTGACACCTGACCATTACTAATTGAAGGAAAGTATGGGTTTGGAACAGCGAAGCTGACATCTGTCACACTAAACAGAGCTTGCTCTACATCTATAGGCACACGTGAGGGTGTTAGGGTGATGAATGTCCTTGGCAGACTTTTCAGTGCCAATATGACTGGAACAGCTGGCAGATCTTCAATGAAACCCATCGTGTTCACCTAGCTTAACACTAAGCAGGAGTGAGGCAGAGGGGCCGGAGATAGTAAACCAACCTGTGAGCGCCATGCCCTCTGTAATTCACCCTGAGAATAGACAGTGGATGGCAGCGCTGGCAGAAAAAGAAGGTTTCCACTTCCTCCATAAAGTACCTGAGCATCCGCAGCCCTGCTGTCCGTGTCCAATCACAGCACACGTGTGTTTAGATTTGTCATGCTGATGTGCCCCGAACACAGAAACTGATATGCTCCCCTGACAATGAAGCGCGTGCCTTTTCTGCTTCATTGTGGTCTGGAATTATTATCGTCACTGGAAATATTTGCCCGTAACATGTTTATGTTTTCAAACGGAAGAAAAATGTCGGCTAGATGATGTTTGATAATTCTAAGTCATCCATTATTAACATAACACATTTATTGTCAGCAAATATTTGTTCCAGAAAAACAAAGTGGCGTTGCCTTTAGTTTATTCGTTTCTTTTGTCTTTCCTTTTCCTTTTAGACCTCATCTTGCCCTAGAATACAGCGGTAAGGTATGTAAAAATCGGATATTTGAACCAATAGGATATTATAACTCTTCTGTAAGCTTTAAAATAATACATCTCTGCTTCTTTCAGGCTACAAAGATTCACCAGAGGGCCTTTGGAAATGACCATCCAATTACAGCTAGAAGCCTTGAGCTCATGGCAACCGTATATGCTGAAATTGGCAAGACTGAATATTCAGGTAAAGGATAGTTGAATAATACAGACTAAACACTTATGACACAGGGATTTACTGTACGCACATAAATATACAGTGAAAACAAACATGGGTGTATGATTCAGAGAGTAGTATATAGAATAAGGGTGGAGACCTCCGTGTCTTATGATGTTAATCCCTGTTGTAGAGCGCACACAACACAGTCTCATGCCATGAAAATGTTAAATTAATTCACATTTGTGGTGATGTTGTACACAGGAACGTGCAGAGTGACAGTTTAAGGTCGTGGATTTGTTGCACAGTGTGCATGCTTGGCTTACCTGACTCTGAACTGTGCATTTTGTTAAGACGTAGAAACAGTTTAGTGTTGAGTCAGCTTACAGAGACACCCGTGCAGAACAAGAGCAGCTGCACCAAGACATGAATATAGACCATTAAAAAGGGGAAAAATACTTGTTGTTCACCTCAGTTTGTCTTAAAATGTTTGGTGAAACGCTGGAAAAATTAAGGCTCTGTGCATTGTTTTGTTTCATTTTGCACTGAGCAGAAAGGGCTCCTTTTTGGCCTGCACCATGATGGCAGGTTTAAGTGTTTACACCCCATGTCCCTCACATACCCTTGACCATTAAGTAGGTCAGTCAGCCCCTCCCTCTGCTAGAACATTGCCTGCATGTATTTTCAAGCTGATGTAGACTTAACTGTAACTGTATGTGATATGTTGAAATTATAATTGCATATGTGTCCCAAAATATCTGAGCCTTCACTTCATTTCAAGTCATCTTTGATTCAAGTCTGCACCTATTAAAAAGCCAAAGTTCTCCCCAGAAGTAAAAACATGGACTAAATAACTGACCTAAGATATTATTGTAACTAGCATGTTTTTATTAATAACTGAAGTCATCTGAGAGAGAATTTATCCTGCAATGCTGACACATACACAATAGTAGGCAACTTTAGGCAATGTGTGTGTAGTCTGTAGTGGCTAATTTTTATTTCTTTTTTATAAACTGTGATGAGATCCAGATTTTTTTAGAGGGCCTGATATAATTGATAGCTTTTTCGCACAGTGAGCACTGTGCAGTTGTGCTGAACTCCCACGGCTGCACTGTACCCGGTGCAGACAGAGTTAACACACTTCCGTCTTGCCTCCTGTACATTTGCATGTTGAGCTTGAGCTCTGCTCTGTCTTGACTGGAGACTCCGATGTTAAGCTGCTCGTCTCATGTTCTGTATGGTCATGGTTCTCTTCCTAGACTCTCTGGGTCAGTGTGTGTCTGCACTGTCCAAACGTTTCGCTGCTGCAGAGTCTCTCAGAGACTCGGTCAGCTGTCTTCCTCATTCCCACCGGGAGAAACACTCAGAGGTACGCCACAGAAAGGATACCCACCACCATCAGGAAGACACACTTAAACCTAAGGTAGGTAAAACACCTGAGGGTATCTGGTTGGTGTTATTCTGATTTATTTCTGTGTTATATGAGGCAGCTTCTTTGGAATAGATCTGTTCCAGCTGTTTGCTGCTGGCCTTTAATGCAATGAATGTGCTCAATGTGAATTTTATCTAATGTAGTTAACCAACAGCAAAGTCCCCACCTCCATCCTAAAGAAGCCAAGTTCCAACTACGGACTAGACACAGAACTCAACCACAAACGTAAAGGCGAGCGCAGAGTTCGATTCAGGGAGCCTGAGACCACAGTGCACGGTGAGAAAGCATGCACGCGAACAATTTGTAATGAGTCCATCCTGCTCGGTTTTAGGCTGCAAGATGTGTTTGCACAGAGAACATGTTGCCCTCTGGTGCTTTTCATTGGTATTTTTATTCTTAAAAATGTGTTGCTATCCCAGCTTAGATAGGAACCCTCAGCCCAAAGCTGCACATGCCTTCGAATTTACATTAAAGAGGAAACCCAGCTAGTATTAAAACACCCAGAAATTGCATCATAAACTACTGTCATTTGGGGGTTCTGTGCTACTTAAAAATAACGTAATGCCAAGAGGTGTCCACACATGAGCAAGAGATTTATTCTTTTTAATTAATTATGCATGCAAATGAGGCACTGTGGAGTCTGTTCAAGAGAGACAGTGGCGACTGAAAGGGTACAGCAGCTGGTTTGTAGCTGCTGCACATCATGAGGTCAGCTTTCAGTGACTGACTGACCTCTTTTCTTTTGGCTTTGCAGACATTCCTTATTGTGACTGTTTAGGTGGTAAGTCTGTCTGAAAAATAACTTTACTAATGAGCACACGAGAGTTTCAAAAGTGCACTCATAAAGAGGAAAGAGGCTGTCAGGCTTGTAGCAGCATTAGCATTAGAATTGTTAGGACTCCACGTGGCACACATGCTATGGGGAGTTTAGCACGCCACTGTCACGTCTTGTTTAACAATGCCTGGAACAGCAAATATTAATGTAAGCTTAACTAATCTATAACTAATCTACAAAAACATCCTCTGAAACCTGACACTTGAGGCCTCGCCTCAAACGACAAAAGAAATGTGCAATTCAAATGCTCGTCATTTACAAATCAAAACTCTGAAAAACCGGTCTGGTTTTTTTTCCCTGTGCAGCCTATGAGACTACACCATCCCGCCCCCACCTTGCCCTGTTCACCTGCCTCTTCCTGCTGATGTCATTCCTGGGCGTTGCCATGTACTGCACAGACCGTCGGCGTCCACAGAGAGTGTGCGAGGAGCTGGAGGCAGCTTTGGCAGTCTACCTGCTGCACATGAAACAGCTTCTGTGGGGCTGCTGGATATGGTTGACAATGCAGTGACTGTTATCAACCACAGGTGGAGACATGGAGCCTCTTTTAATTTATTATTAATTTTTTGTTTTTTTTAGATCCCTCTTTTTCCTATCTTTGAAGGTGCCCGGGCCTACAAACACCTCAGCCATTTGGCGAGGCTCTACACACTGTCTGTGGTTTTATTCCACTCTCACCATGAAAAAGGGAAAATGTGTAATCCCAGAAATATGTAGCTTCCATGTCTGTATGTATATATGTACTAAGGTGGTGGGCATGCCACTCCATATTTAAGTTGTAACGGCATTTTGCACATCTGCACCGTTGACGCTGACATGTAACACTCGCATAATCTCCACAACAGTTCATTTTTTTCTTCTATTCATGTCACAGTCTGCTGTCTGTGAGTGAATGTTTCCGTGGAATGCAAATTTATTTTGTTACGGTACATGATTTGTGTATACCAGATATTACACGGAAATGAATGTGTATATATGGCTCAATATACTAAGGACTATCACAGTATTTAGCCTTGTAATTGCACATAAATGAATGTAGAGAGGTCTGGGAAACGACTTTGATTGGCACTTCTGATTGGCACACTGAGACGAGGCAGACAGAAGCATGAATGTGTAAACTGTTTAATGATGGTCTGAAAAAAGAAAACACAGGGCCGCATCACTTCACGGAATGACTTGGACATGAAAAACACCTTGTTCTTTTCCAACTGTCTGGTCGCCTGTCAGCTGAATGCTAGTTTCACGGAGGATAATAATCTGCAGCACAATATTACCTATCATGAAAGAGAATATACTCAATCCAAACGAATGCTTGTGCTTCTGACAGTGTTCCTCTTTATAACCGCCTGAATCCCACAAAAATACTTTATGCTAAATGTTATTTATTCTTCTATGTTGTATATCTGCTTCTACGCAACTATCGGACTTCTGGTTATATGGATTTTTTTTTACTTTTTGTTATCTGTAGCATTTATATTCAAATGAAACATTCAGGTTTTAATTCTGATGTCAAGTGTATGGAAGTGCGTGGGTTGAACGGATATTTGCAATACATAACAGAAAAAGAAAAAAAAAAGGTAATTGCTATTTTAGAGGCCAAAAACAGAAATTTAACAGAGCCAGACGTTATTGTATGAGTCCCTTTATCAAACAAGGCAAGTCAAATTCAAACAGCCAAATCACCACATAAATGGATTATAGGAATCAAAGGGCACAGTGATGCACATCCCACATATCTCTCATTATGAGCAATAACACACATCACATATATTCCATTAAAACACTTTATACAACAGGTTTCAGGGAACTCAAAATAAAACGAGTTTGTTTGTCTTTTATTTTGGAGATCTCACGTTTGACTGTAGACTGCAGATGTACCGGAGAAAAGGAATACTCTCGACTCTGTACTGTCAAACGAAATCATCATTAGCAATAAAACAATACCCAGTGAGCTTATGTCCTGTAGATGCACATTTAGCTTAAAGCTGCATTTCACTGCTGTTCAAACATCTACGGTCACTTTGAAAGAAGTGCCTTTATCGAGGGTTTTCTTAGTTCCTACCGTTTTTTGCTTTTTTTATTTCAGTTGTTTTTGAAATAAAAACTGTCATTGCCTATCAAAGTGAAGCGGCCAACTTTCCTTTCTTCCCATAACCTCTGTCAATAAGTGAGCGTGGGATTTAACAGGGAGAGGGAGAGGTGCATGCAGGTATACTTGTGTGTCTAGTCACAGTAATATAGAGTATATTGGTTTGTAGCCTATAAAGTGTGCAGAAGAAGCCTGAGTTGCTAAATGGCACAAGATAGGATCTGTTTTCTTATCTCACACAGATTGCTAAAAGCCTTTTAGACTGCCTGCCAAATGCACGAATGTGTAGAGCTGCAATTTGTCTTTTTTTTTTTCTACTTTTTTTTTGTTATAAAACACCTTTTGTAGCTGCTGATAAATGTGTAAAGATGCTGCAAATGCACACACTGTTTATGCTGGAGCATGCAGTTCTCACTTTGCAGAGACGCACTGTGGATACTGGCAGGAAAAAAAGAAGCCTAAGTTAGGAACACATTTATTGGTGAAGAAAAAAAACTCCTTTATGTCTAAAAAGCACCTGAGAAATTTTACATGCTTTAGATCCATGCAGAAATTTCACAAGGACAAGATCCACCGGCCAAACTGGCCAAACCATTAATACCGTTTTTTACTAATCAACAACGTATATTTGATAAAAGATGTATTTTTTTGTTTAAAAGAAAAAAGTTTTAATACTATCAAATCTGGGTTGGGGTTGAATAAGGGATGGATTATCTCAATATAGCACAGGAAAGGTTAACAACCATCTGTAGCTTTTATTTTCAGTTACTTCTGGAAAACAGCTAAAACTGTCGATTTGATTCAATTCATCTTCGTGGGAGCAAAAGCCAACTGATTCTGATTGTCTACACAGGCGAATACTGGTGTTGGTCACGGCAGGCAAGAGGACTACATGGTTCTATATGGTTAACTGTGAATGAACGTGTATGTTTGTGCGTCTTGCTGATTTCTAAATCAGGCCGGTCTTGAGGTCAGAGCCGCGACGTGAAGAGCGGCCGAGCAGCAATTCCTTCTCGTGGATCAAGGTGTCGAGCAGGTCCTCTTGTCTGTAGTTGTGGTAGACCTTCAGAAAAGCCATCACAGTGATCCCGAGCCAGGTGAGCCAGGCGGCCCACAGCCCAAACTGAAAGAGTAAAAGCAGTCATTGCATTTACTCCGACTGTTAAATTCGTTATACTGTCTGTACGTTAATTTTACAAGATTTTTACCTGAGCTATAGCAAACTGGTCATAGAAAGCAGAGTTGTCCAGACCCAGTTCTAGATCAGTATCCTGCATGTCTTCACAGCTAAACAGAAAGTGGCATTTAGAGGGACTATACCACAGCATCATCCGGAAAAAGTAGAACACCTGCGCTTCTCTCTCACCTGTTGGGCATAGTCCCACCTTCGGTGATGGCGTCACACCACAGGTTAAAACCCACACTAAGGATGGTGCTGGACAGAAAGACTGTGAACACCACCAGGGAGCTAATGAGCAGGTTGAGGAAGGCATTGAAGATGGAGCTGCAGGCAGACAGAACAGAAATACAAAACAAACTGGGTTAGGGCAGGCAAAAACCCTCAACATCTCTGGAGTATGTTACAACACTGACACAGAGGCCTATTACTCTGCATGATGTATGCAACTGATGATTAAGTCTTTCAATCACACATCAACATAATGACACATAAGTTGCTTTGATGTCACATAAAATAGTAGGTGAAGCATAGGCTTTGATTTCTAGTTTAAAATGAGTATTCCCCCATCTTTGGGAGATGGCAGTGACTTGACATTTTACAGGATGCTTCCGTGCCCATTTCCATCCGCTATAAAATAGAGTATAATACATGCAGGCTATGAAATATACAAGACAGTGCACGAACAAGGGCGTGGGAGATGGACAGGAATGGCACATTTACACTCAGACCGCTGGAGTGGTATTGCTTCATAAGCTTCTATTTAAGGAAGAGGCACAAGTGAACGGTCACTCACTCGTCGTGTCCTTTGCACAGAAAGAACAGCAGCCTCCAAGCCTGCACTGCGGACAGGATGAGGGACGCTATCCCGACAAAAGTGATGAAGCTGCAGGAGGACTCGGGTCCCCACTCCTCCACGATGAAGCGCTGCTTCATCACAGTGATGTTTTCATTTTGCCACATACCCCGCGTGAACAGCAGGCATTTCCCCCCGAAATCCTCCGTGTTTTCAGACAGAGGCACCACGGCGATAAAACCGAAAACGAAAGCTAAAAAATAAAGGATGCACTGGGCGAAAATCAAATTGTCGAGGGCCATTTTTCTGTCTTCCCTGCTCTGCACTCAGCGTCCTGGAGCAACTGCGGCTGCGCAGTGGAGACTGACGAGCGGAGGCGCAGCATCCGACGTTGCTTTGCTGCAAATTAATGAGCAGGCAGAGGCCTTCAGGGCTCTCCATCTTATCTACGTCCAAGCTGTGGAGACATTCCTCTTCACTAATATACCCGTTCGCAGTGGCTTACGTATATTACAGTTAGTTATGATATTTTTAGTGACCAAGATAATCATTTTCTCTCCGCCGTAGGTAGAAATAATAATGTATAAGTTCTTGTATTGACACCCCTTTCATTTTTTACAATCTCCAGTATTTTTACTGAAGCTAGATACAGTTAAAAATGCCCCCTTGATGGTACTATTTTAGTTTTTTCTACACATTTCCCCAATATTATAAACTCTGTGACCTCCACAACATAAACTAAAGTTCTACATCATTTGCTGCACAGCACGATTTCCAGAGACTTACATTGAACTGCTAAAACTGTAAAATATATAACTATATATACTAAAATATATACCAAAAACTTACTGATAATAATACTACTGTGAACATTTTGCTGTATAGGAAAGATATTAAAGGGGCAACTCTAAAAAGGTTCAGCATAATCATCTCCTTGGGCACAAGCACACATTTTGCACACACATAAGTGTATACTCACAAATTAGAGTAATGGTTTGTTTATACATGGTGACAGTCCTTAAGGAAGGGCAGGTAGCTGTCACAGCCACCTGACACGCTTCAGTGAGCCCATCTGGTGAGCTGGCCAAGGTGTCTCACCCTTTTCTTGGCCACCTAGCTTTTGCACTGCTCACAGTGCCCTCCAGTGGGCAAGACACCTGCTGCCATGTTGCACCAAGGTCTGAATGTTTCATGTTGACAGTATGATCACTGGCCTTCACGCAAGGCCAAACCTGGTGAATGTGAATGTGATGTTGTAGAATACAGAGATGAAAAATGTGGAATAGCTTTTACACTCAAGAACATTAAAAATTCCAAACATCGAAGTGTGTTTGGAAAATCCACTGTGGGTTGTGTATTCTGGGTGCACAGCATCACCATCAGAGGTTCCTATCAAGACGTTTTCGTTTAGGAGATTAATAATCATGCATTTTTCACCACAACAGTCCTCGCAACACAATGACAAGTATTTATATGAGAGTTTTCCACACATCATGTGGCTATTTGTATCCATCTTGCAAACCGCAGGGTTTTTTTGCATCATCTGCCGGCACATGATTTATGTGTCATTTTCGCCACCGCACTCTGATTTCCACGATGGTATCAGCTTTTAGATTAGCTTGAGTTA